AGGGATAGGGGGGAGGGGGGGGGGGGGGGTTTATATGAATGAATGAAGGCTCGGGTATGAGGTGGGGATAGGTAGACAAGCAGCTACTACTGTTACACAGAATTTAGCACATACCATGCTACTCCGGAGGTCACTCCGGATTCTGAGTCGGGAAACTTTAGACGAATTTCCAAGTGGAAGTTATGCTTAGTAGAAACTTCGTCTCTTGACTGGCTATTGTTTCGTTTCTTTTGGCAATGACGTATGCTATTTACAACTTCCAAGCCAAGTACTTAAACTTGGTACTATATAACTACGGATCAGTTATACGCCGTATTTCCGTACTAGTATAGTACGAACATAGCCTGTTTTAACTGCCTACCTATGGTGTGCATATGCATATGTGCGTATATTTCTTCTGGCAGCCAATTGGAATCGTCGTTAGTAACTAGACATGTGGGGCTATAGGATCTCTTCTGAGAGCCTATCATTTCCTGTTAGTAACCACCAACTGAAGGTGCACTAGTGTGCAGAAGAAAAACCAATAATATAGTGGTGAGATAACTGCATACCTTTGATACGGTATGCTCCGGACGTCCCCCCGTATGCGCAATCAATGCAATGCGTAGAGCGCACTATTTGCAGAGCGGGAGAGAGAGAAAAGAAGTATGAATGGCTGGCTGGCTGGGTGGAAAAGAAAAGGAGAGGAAGGCATGATCAGAGTGACATGATCTGGTTTGGTGGGTGTACTGTACTGTGCAGGTGTTGCGCTTATAATCATGTCATGTCTGCGTCGACTTGCTTGCAGGCTGTTAGATGCACAGCATAGTACGGAGTATATGGATGACGTTTTTGATTCTTATATCAATATCTTAATTTATGTGTATTATGTCTTCTTCTTCTGCTTCTTACTTAAACTTAAACAATCTCAGGTTAAACGATTAGATTCCAGCATACAGTACTCCAGATCTAACGCACAATGGGCGAAGTTAGAACCATCGCCGTTATGGGCGCGACAGGTAAGTGAATAAAGCTTTCTTTCTTTCCCTCATCTCATCTCCTTTGAAAGCTATAGCAATACTCACATACCCTTTCTTTCTTTACCCCCAGGACGCCAAGGAAGAGGAGTAATCGAAGCCCTGCAAAATATCAGCACCAAATCCATAGAGAAACAAATACAATATGCCATCCGGCCCATGACCCGTTCCCTCACCAGCAAACTAGCACGAGAATTCGAGCTGGATTTCCCGCATCTATCGCTCGTGCAGTGGCGCCAAGACGATACGGATTCCATCACGGAATGTTTCGATGGCTACTATGGTGCCTTCATAGATACGGGCATGTTTCACGTGCCTGAAGCGTCGATGCTGGAGTTGACGAGAGGGGAGATCGCACTGGGGAAACGGTGTTTGGAAGCTGCAAACGTAGAACTTTCTTTTACCTTTCTATTTACCTTTCATGCTTGTCTTGTCATACCAGCCAATGTTATCTCATGTTATATTATCTCATCTTTCCGTTCCTTTCATTCAACTTGCGGGATCCGAATACTGAGTAAATACATATATACTAATTGCATAACATGGTATGACAACAGACAGCCTCGCTATCCCATATAATCTACCCAACCTTCCCCTCCATCTTCAACTCCAGCAACGGGTCCATCAACATCCTCCGTTTCGAAACCAAACACCAGATATCCCTCGAGATCCACGCCTCGTCCATCCCCTCCACAGTCCTGTGCCCCGGCCCCTTCTACACCGATCTCTACGAGCCGCAATACGCATCCTGGGACGGCACAACCGTCATCTTCTCCACAACCGCCGCCCCCGAAACAAGCGTCGGCTTCGCAGACCCGAGCCATGATATCGGGCTCTTCACGCGCGCCGCGCTCGATAAAGGAGCGCAGTACATGGCCGGCGAAGAAATACCCGTGTGTGGCCCCCCGCTCACGTACGCGGAGCTCGCGGCGCGCTTCACGGCCGTGACGGGCATTCAGGCCGCGTACAGGACAGTGCGG